GTTTGCCAGCCGAGGGCTCAGCTGTCCAACCACATCGTGGACCAACTGGGCCCGACGAATGTAGACTCTGCTCAGTCCGATACTCGGCCAAGTCGCCGCTTCAGGAACATGTTTTCTCGCGACGACACATCGAGTCGGTGCGTGTTGCCGTCGAAGAAGGCAGTCTCGTGCCACCAACACCCGGCGCACCGATCGTTCCTGGCGGCAACAGTGGCACAGCAGGAATCGGCAATTCGCCGGTGGTCGGAGCCACTAATCAGCAAGCTGCCCAGCAGCAGCAGCAGCAGCAATCGGACGAAAACATGATGTACGGATCCTTGTTCCTCCATCCTACGGCGATGTTCCAGCCACAGCAACAACAACACCCGGGCGCCGCAACGGCTAGCACTGCTACCACCACGGCCGGTGAGTGTCTGGCTGACCTCTTAGACTCCTAAGCGACCGTTCTACCGCATTTCGTTCGAAATTCTTATCTCATTTAACGCGACTCGTGTTCTTCCAATAATCGGTTCGATGGAAAACGTTGTCGAGTTGAGAACGCGACTGATTTCATACTTTCAACGATAAATTAACTTCCGAACATGTTTGATGCGTCGACGTTTATTTTAACTTTCCCTTCGAGCACGGAAATGCATACTTCTATACTCTCTTTGTGTGCTCTATCCAATATCGTTTTGTAGTAATATTGAATTTCGAACATGCGCAAGTCACTGTCGTTGTATGTTGTGCACGTGTCCCTTTATCGCGTGTATACGTACCCGTATTGTTTAATCTGGCCCGTGTGATACTCTAGGGGGCCTGTCGATTATGGAATTTATACGAAAAATTCGAGGAATCGTTTATGTATAGTGCGAATATAATATATCCAGAGCTAGGCAATACTGAAAGTTCCTATCAGATGACTATTTTAGCGTAAGAGAGAATGCGAACGAACGAAAGAAGAAACAGAAAGTATGTGTGAGTGAGAGAAAGTAAGAGAAAGAGTGAGTGAGAGAGAGAATGGCATAAAAGTTGAGAGATGCGTATTTCAAGCATTAACTTTTAAATGATCGATCATCGCCGTCGGACAGATAGAAATGAATAAAGCGTCCCGATTATACGTTGCTGTACAGTTAAAGACTATATTACAAATTATTAGAAACTTTATTATTATATTTTATAATGGATCCCTAGCACTATTCAATTTTGGTTATTATTCGAAGCGTTTGATTCATTATAGTATAGCCAGAAAGAACGGAGAATATGTTGCCTTAATTCCTGCATAGCGTAACTATCGTACCCTTATCTCCCCCGAAACTGCTCGTCCCCTTCTCATTTCGGTTTTGCATGATTATCGTCGTCATTATTTTATATCCACAAAGCCATTCCAACACCTTGTCGTTTCACGTTTAAAATCTCCAGCTCGTTATGTTTAAAGCGTTCACTGTAAATACTTCGCAAAATCTCTCATTGTTATCCGAGGCTCGTATATGGCCTGTTTATCTCGAACAATCCCGATTCTGACCTCCGTGAACCAGACAATCTACCGGAGAGGGGACTCTCTTGCGAAGAACGGATACATACAATATGTATACACCTGAATTTCTCTCTCGCTGTAATGTCATTTCACTCGCTTCCCTCTCTTTTCTTTTTACCTTGGCATCGTCGCAACGATCCTATTTGCCGCCACGACGATATCGCTCTTAATCGGGGCTATTATTAATTATTATTGTTTTATACGTTTAGTTATTTATGAATACCCTCGGACCCCTCCCTTCGTCTCCCCTTTTATGACAGTCACACTCTCGCTTGCCCCCGCGTCAACGAATCGACTTCTTTAGAAATACGTCGACCTTGAACAGAGCTCGAGACATGCGTTCTTTATTTCTCTCTTTTTCGATGTATTTTATTTCGCGCTAGTTTACATTCGCGGCCAACGAGGGTGTGCCTCCGCTTTCTTGCTTTTTTCTTTATCAACACGTCAGACACTTGTACACAATACGCGTGATTTCACGCTTGTACACACGGATTACGCATCCGAACGAAAGCTTTGTACGCCCTGCATCGCATACGTACATACACAAGATGAACACACGTAAACGTTACATTTACACATTAGAACATTAGAATACATAATGTTATGTATGTCGATCCCTACTATTCTTGTGTATATAGTTTATTATTAAGTATTAATTATTATTATTATTAATTATTATTATTATTATTATTATTATTATTATTATTTTATATTATTATTAATATTATATTGTTTTTCCGTTCTAGTCTAAAATAAAGCTATACTATCATAAGATTAATCTTTGGTTTTCTTCTTATTTGACATTTTTATCCGATTTCCCGTTCCCTTCCGCTTAATCGTTGTTACGTAATTTCCTAGTTCTCCTTGCTTATTTTTTTTTGGGGTAAGTCGTTGCCGCAAATACCGAATGCATCAAAGTCATCGTTTCTTTCCGCTCACGTGTTATGTACAGATTTTTGTGTAAGTAGAACGCAGATTTTTACCTGTAATTGTATAAATATTCGTAAAAGGAATTTCCGATTTTACAATCAAATACAGATTGTTCGTAATGGAAAAGGTAATACTCAACGTGGGAGATAGTTTCTTAGTAACCTGGTTGATCGATTGCGCGAGTTTTGCGTAAAACATAGCTATTAATATGTTCCGTATCGCATCGACTATCGATTCACGTTATTTATTGAATACGTAGCTTTAATTAATTGAAAAACTATAGTTTTCGATTTAATATCGAAGCAAAATATGGAGAACATGAAATGGAAGTGTAAGGAATTGGTATGCTTTTTTTTTATAATCAAATTTTATAATTTTATGCAATACTTTCTTTTAATTACAAACGTTGTGGCGTTTCAAATTCATTTTGCGAGCTTAAAGTACGGAATAAATATAGAGGTAATTTAAAGACGAAAATGTTGTTAACATGGTGGAAAAATAATGAAACAAAATTTTGCGTAACCTTACATTTTTTTGTACGTTAAAATAGAATAAGATTAAATAAAATGTTTAATTTGCAAAAACAATAATAAAGCTATATATTTCATCGATAATTAATATTCAACACTTATAACGATGTACATACATTTATATAAATAACCTGGAAATGTTTAACTATAAAAATAGAATACAAATGGAGAAGTGAAATTGATAACAGCAACAAAATTAATTAATTTATTGCGTCTAGTAGATTGTAATTTGAATCTGTTGAACAAAATAGAAAGTTCTGAGCAATATTTATATTTTTGATAATAAAAAAATAGTAGCGAACTATCAATGTTCCCTTTATATTTGTTTTTCTTTAAACTTGCAAAACGAGTGATTTGACTGTCAAATGTTGGTTAACTCAACGTACACGCCATCGTTGTCAACTGAGCCAACCTAACCTAACCGAGCATCTCCACAGAAAACAAATAATCGGGCGAAAACTAAAAAATTATTCTTCCTTCAAATACAGAACGCAAAATGACGGGGAAATATTCCATAAATATTTGAAACAAGAAATTAATTTTATTTTTCCTTGTTTAACAAAAGACCTTTAGATTCGAGATTAGATAATCGAAATGATCCGTTAAGTAAGTGAATCTGTTTTTACTTCATGAGGTGATAAGAAAACAGATATAATAATTCCGATTGAAAAAACGTCAATGACCTTAAAATGCTAAACGAGGTCATTTCGAGAAAATTGTTTTGATCGATCGTTATACGTAAATATGTTTGTCGATTTGAGCAATGAAAATTTGTCCTTATGTTTCTTCTTAGAAAACGTCACGACGGAAACATTTAGCTACTTAGATTTGAACAATAATGAGATTATAGTCGTCGTTGTTTTAAATATTTTTAAAGAACACGAAAAATAAAACTCATAAATATGTAACAGTATTTTCGTTACCTGATAAGATATTTAAAGTGGTTAAAATTTATAATGTTCACGCTCATAGTTGCAATCATTGCAATAATTTGTGTATTTATATTTTTTTTCTACTGTATGTTTTTACGGTGAAATATATAATTAAGCATTAATTATGTATATATACATAGAAGAATAAATATTAATGAGTTTAAAATATGAGCTGTTAATCATGTGATGAATTCATTGTTTTCTATCACTAAAAAAAACGCAATGGTAGGGTATTTTATTAAAGTTGATTTCATTTAATAAATAATTTTCATGTTTTCGAAAACAGCAGATTTGTAAATTTGATGAAAATATAAGTTAATATGTTTGTTCAACGTGATATTACTTTCAAAATTATAGCAATTAGATAACATAAAGTTTTTTAAGTAATTTTTCAAATACAAAGCTTTTAATACCGAAGGAAATTAAATAACAGTAGTTAAATTTCGCTAAATTGGGTAGGTACAATGTACAGTATATAATTTTATTTCATACACATTTCACTAATTCAATCATTAATATTCAGTTAGTCATCTAATTAATTTATTTAGCATTTGATATTTTTGTATTTGAAAAGTGAGATAATGCATAGAATAATTGTCATGTTTTGTATTTAATATCTGGTACCTTTTGTCTAATTTTTTTATAATAAGGTGAAGTGGAGTAAATACAGACTGGTTTTTGTAAAGTTGGTACTTAAACGTAAGTATTTTCAGTCTGCTATGTAAATACTTCACGCTGTCGATATTGAACGCTTTACACAATGACTACTATTTAATTAATATTAGTTAGGACCTTAATTCTCCTTGTACATTTTGATTTTGATAGGAAATTGTTTAAAGTGTCAACTACTATGCAGTTTCCCTGAAAATGGGATAAGAGCGTAACTTGAAGTTAAATACTTTGAAACTTTATTTCATGTGCAATGGGGCAAGAGCAGAATTATTAACAAATCTGCTATAAAATGCTTTTTACTGCATTATGCAAGAACTCTACACTGTAAACAAGTACTCTTAGCTGAAATATAAAAGGGGATATAGTGAAACAAAACAAGGAAACAAATATACTAAATGGAGAAATTTCGCTCATATTGTAATAAAAATAGCCTGCATACGCACTTGCCCCGTTTGCGAACTTACCCCACTTCACCTTATTCTTGATTTTTGAATCATTAAAAAACTTTAGTGTATAGTGAACGATAAATTGGCTTTCTATAAATTAATAGTACTATATCATGTGCTTCTTTTTCACCGAGCGCAATTTTATGAGCCTCCAAATCATAATGAAATTCAATCTAAGTCAAAACTAAGAACTGAATGAAAGTTATAGTAAAATATAATTTACCTGCACCTTTCATTGCTCATTAAAATGGAAGTTGCAATCGGTATTACCATAAAAATATTCAGACATTCGGTGAATTTACACACGAAGTTTATTAGATACTAAATTGCAACTAAATTATAATGAAATATTTGAAAACGAAGTAAAAAATGTAGACATATATTCAATATATAATAGCTCTGAAAGAAACTTCCTAGTAACAAGAAATAGAAAGTAGTAAAATAAAGAATAGTATTACCTGATATTCAGTATGCATATAAAAACTGAAAATCAATAAAGGCTTAAAACATTGCCAAAAAAATTATGCAAATTTATAAATATTTAATAATTATTAAGAGTGAAAAATCTTTATTTGCTTTATACATCCAACTTTTTTAGTATGTGCTGTATTTTTACTGTAATATAACAGTGCTATTACTAAACAAGTTGCATATTAAAATAATATTATTCTAATATTGCAAAATAAATAACTTTGGTCGAAATTAATGATTTTTGGGGTAAGAGATAACAAAATTGTTTTTGGCTGTGAATAATTGTTAGATGTCCTTTAATTTTCATAATTTAAAACGAACTTTATGAAATTAATAATTAAATATTTCAAAACAGTAAAAAAGAAAAAACTTCAGAAAAGACGATTTAAATCTGCAATTTTTTTTTTATGAGAACAGAGTATTTTTTACTGAAACAGAATCTGACATGAATATAATCTTTTACACGAAACTTTTTAAAAACTGTTTCTCTTAAAGTTGGTTAAAAAACATAAATAAATCTGTTCATAATAATTTTCAATGTGGAAAATAGAATTAAAACAAAAATATCAACGTTCGGCTTCAACTTTGTTGATTTTATTTTTCTCGACAATATTAACAATTTGCATTCAAAGATATTTTTGCTATTAGTAACTAAAACTTTACAGTTGATAACTCTAAATTCTTTTAAAGTAGTATCAATCGCCACTATCTTTTTTACTACGTTCATACATCAAATATTCAACACTATAGATTTAGTCAAAATATTGTCGCATTAAACCGAACGGTGAGTCACCTTTCGAGTGCAAAGGGTTAAAAATATAACCGATATTAAAAATCCCTACATTAACATAAATATGCCTTTTCTGTCAGCTCGAAAAATCAATCATACATGCGCATCAACACGTGTAACAAAAGGAAACCATTTTAGAATAACAATACCGTGACCCGGTGCAACCGCTAATATAATGGCGTCCGCCATCACGACCTGCAACAATTTCAAGAAAGAAGATAACTCCTAGCCACGTGCCTAAGAATCTTCATTTTCATGTGTATCTAAATACAATTTTATTATAAAGGCATTTCTGAATTACGGCGAAGAGGTAGCGCAAGGAACGAACAAAGGGGGGAAAAGATGAAGAGGGACTCGTTGAAATTCATAACGCCTGGAGAACGTTGGTTTCAGGGTTTGTTCCTTCCGGCTCGTGGCGGGCCACGTGTCGGTTTCTACAATGCGCGTATACGTTATTTTGAAAAGCTTATGCTAATGCGAAGAGGCGGCGGGATCCCGCAAGCGCGACACGAAACGCCGCCTCGTTCTCTAGCGGTAGGGAACGATTATACGCGCGATTCGTGAAATTATGCAAAACACACGTCGTGTCGCGCGAATCATGCCGCTTACTCGCGTGCGTGCGCGCCGAGGGTGTGCAAACGACTCTGCACGGTAGGCACGTGGCTTGGTCGACAAGGGAATGCAAATGATAACTCTCCAGAGGGTTGGAAGCCTTCTCTTTGTCGGAGAACGCTCACTCGCACGAAAATTGCGCGCGTATTTAGATTTCAGGTAGTCGAGAGATGCTCGAGCCTACTCCGCTCGCGTCGCAATTAGCTACTGCGAAAATGTTTTGAATGGTAATTGCATAGAAAAGCACTTCATCCATTTCGATGACCTCGA